CCGTTAGCCCTTTCCCCCCTGCCTGTGCCCGGCCGAGAAGCGCGAAGGTGCGAGCAGAGGAGCCGGGGAAGGAAGGGGGCAGAGCCGGCAGGCGGGGACTGGGAGCGGAGGGGAATGTTCCTCACGGAGTTTCGGGGTCGTTTCGGGGGAAGGGGGTCGGGGCGGGGAAGCCCCGGGCACAGCGATGGTCCCCGGCACCGCTGGAGGGGCCCGGGAGGGCAGCTTCCCGAAAACCGGCATTCCCGGCTCTTCCTTTGCTCCTTCTGCCTCGGGAGCCGAGGTGAGCGTGGAACTGAGCTGTCCTTGCTGCCGGGATAGCCGCGGTCATAAACGTGAGGCGTGTGTGTCCCTGGGGGTGCCGGGGTTGTTGTTTTTCTGAGCGTTCTCACGTTCTGTGTCCTCCGAGAAACCTGTTGGGGCTGGGTTTGGTGGTTTTTGCACCTGTCGCGTTTGAGGAGTTACGTGAATGCGAAGGTGACTCTTCTGACTGCCGATAGTACCCGTTTGAGGTCTGAATATTAAAATGTTCCTCTTGGGATTCATGCTTTACTACCTGAGACGATGCCGTTCAGCCAGGGCTGTGTCCGTGCTGCTCCCTGAGCAAACTCCTTCTCCACGGGTGAAAAGGGCAGCGTTTTTGGAAGTTAAGCCTCGATGTCTGTCTTGCAAACTTCTGCACGGACAGACCCCTCCGTCTGTTTAACTGCTACGAAGCTTTTCAGTGTGCTGTGCTCAGGTGATACTCAGCAGGTGTGAAGTGTCCAGGGAAGCTGCCACAAATCCAGTGTAGCGAGGTGACGTGAGGCATCAAGCTAGAACAGAATCACACCTGCAGTTCTGAAGCTCCATCAGTGCCGCACTGCCCGAGACGACGTGATGTAACACTGAAAAATTGTTGAAGATAATAAAATAAGCATTTTGGATACTACATATCAAAAAGGTTGACACAAGGATTTGTGGGTTTTTGTTGTTTTTTCTAAACCGTATGCCTCCGTTTAGATGAACTAAGAAATAAGCCCTTCCAAAAATAATCTTTGTAACTTGTTCTTTTTTGTTGTCATTTTTCTGTGTGGAAAGTGGGTTCAGAACGTATTTGAGCTGTTGTGCTATACCTTCATAGCTCCAGCTGTTGGTATTATGGAAAACAATACATCCTAGACTTCTCTGTGGTCATAAGTTGGTTCAATTTTGCACACAAAGGATCTTTTGCTCTAAAAAGTCCTTACTTCTAAAACAAGTAAAATCTGTAAAAGTGACTGAGCAGTGCTTGTTTAAATTAACTTGTTTAAACAGCTTTGATAGGCTAAATGGAGTGTAACAGTTTGTGTAAAGTAGGTTTTTGTTTGAGCTGCTTTTAGAAATAGCAACTGGAAGTTATTTAAAGCATACTTGCATATTTTCTTTTTCAGCTGCAGGTATGTAGAAACATTTGTACAAGAATTCTTTTTTTTTTATTTTGTAGGGTTGATCCATATGGATTTGAAAGGCCAGACGACTTTGATTATGAGTCCTATGAAGCATTCTTTTCCAGATACCTAGTGGTACTCACTAGAAGAGCAATAAAATGGTCCAAGCTCCTAAAGGGAAATAACACTATACAGAAGAGTTTAAAAGGTGAGCTGTGTGTCTATTTATAGGTAAAAGTGCATTATGTTGGAACTGATATCAATCATATTAAATTGGTTTGCATTTTTGAGTGTTAAATACTCCTTTTATCTTGAAATGAAAAACAATACTATGAACAATAATACCACATAAGCAAGTATGTTGTTGTTAGGGGGATAATTTATTTGATTTAAAGCTTACAAAGGAGTAATCCCTCTTTGGCATACACTATAATATCCTATTACATCTGTAACCCAGAGATTATGGCCACTGGCACTTCAAGATGCCATTTTATAGCTGTTTATTTTATTGTTCTGTGCTCTCTGTAGAAATCCATGAGGTTATGTAGAAGACACTGTCTTGAACCCCAGGGATCAAGTTGTTAGGGCTCTCAGTTGCTGACTCTCAGAGTTTTTTTAGGTTGCTGAGATTTTTCTAGCCCTCCTTTTATCCTCCTTTTGTAAAATGATGCTCACCTCACAGCTGAAAATATGCATACTAAGAACTGATGCTGAATGCTTTATGAAGCGAAGACAACAAAATTAATGCAGGAGCTAGTGCAACATGGGATGGAATGCTGATGGAACTGTTAAAGGGCACTTCAAAAAGCAAGAAAACCTCCAGTAATGTTTTATTTTGCAAGAGAGACAAGGAGAAATAAATGGAGTCAGAAGGTGGCCAGGAATCCTGTGACAACCAAAGGGTGGGGATCTCTCCTCTCACTCTTTCTCTGGGTTATTTTTTCATGTGAGCATCTAAATTTTCATCTTTGCTCCTAATGATGCTATTCAGTGTGCTTTCTCATGGGAGCCTTCTGGATTTGGGCACAGAGTTCTCGAAGTGTGCTAAAGAAAAAAATAGTGGAAGGAAGCACAAGTTCATCAGGGACTGGCTGTAACATAACTAAATAGTTGGAGCTGTGCTTCAGGTGCAGACTTTGACTACTAATTCTGGTGGTTTTGTTTTTCTGGGGTGTGGTGTCTGGGTTGTTGGTTGTTGTTTTTTTTTGTGGGTTTGTTTTGTGTTTGTGTTTTTTTTTATTGGCACCAAGAATGGGACGATAACTAGTGAGACACTAAGTATAAAAGTGTATTTGGTGTATGGATGTCCATTTTAAGGCTGAGGAATCCCAGAAAACGTAGGTTTGAGCTATAACTCCTAGGTCATATGCTGCTAACTAGAAAGTAGCTGTTTCTACTCTTCTTTTTCTCCCACATGTCAAGAAGCTTTTGTTTAGAGTGTCAAGTTTGAATATAGCTATAACTGTGTGATATTTTGAATTAGAGAGGATTTTGAGAGTCTGTGGAACTTAAGTCTTTTAGTTGTTGTGGAAAAATAATCTCGGGTTTTAATTCCTCTCCTCTTAAAATGTGTGAACTGCGACAGTGGCAGCTTGTAGTAATTTCTGTGAGTTTGTTGCATTTTTCTTCCTTTATGTAGCAGTGCAGACACAGAGTGCTACTGTGATAGGAACAATGTGAATACCTTTGGTCTTATTTTGGAACCAGAACCTTAACCAAATCCTTCAACTTGCCCACCAGGCTTCCCTACTGATGGTTGTGCTGCCTCACTAATGACAAAATGGCAATAACCATTAATATGGTGTTAATTGTCTCTAAACAGTTTGTGAAAAATGGGATACCATAAATCCACTAACCGGACACAAACAATGGCTCTTGGCTGTAGCAAGCCTTAGTGGGCTGGTGCATCATCTTTGGTGTTACTAACTTTTGCTAATGGTACTTGGATTTGTAGACTATGCGTGCTCATGCACATATGTAATACATAAGTCTAAGGAGAGTGACTGGAATAAATAATGTTGAGGAAACATAGCCTGAGTGTAAATTCCAAGTTGTTACAATGAGCCTCCCTCATTATTGTTGACTGATACCTCAGAAGAGAGGAGCAACAAGTTAACCTGTAAAATTATTGATTTTTAAATACTTCCTTTCTTGAATCAGTATTAAGATTGAAGTCTGTGACCTAAGTGCCAAGAATTATGTAAGTGGTTGTTTCGGTGTGTGTTTTATCCTGCAAGATGATCCTGCAGCAATTTCCTTGCAGTCAGAGAGCAGAAGGTCTGCCTGGTGATTCACCCAATTTCCTTCTTCCAGCACCTGACTTTATTGCTCTGAAGCTTTGCTCAGGAGCTGCTGGTTCTGATTAACTTCCCCATCAGCCATAGCTAGAATTGAAAGATTGTTTGATTTGCTTCTTCCCCCCCTCAGTGCAATAGCTGTGTATGCAAGCCCATGTCCTTATTTTGAGTTCTCCTGGGGCTTTTTCAAAATGTGTCCTGCTGTGAATAGATGTGAGAGAGGTATTCTACACGTGGTATCTCAGTAGCTCCACACCCATTTGTCTTTACACACAGAGAAGCTCATAATTCCTGTCCGGGTGAACAGGAAGAAGTGATGACCTGGGCTAATTTTCCAGTTTGGAAATGTGGTGTGTTCACATGTTACTGTGTTTGCCTCATGTCCACAGTAGTATGTATGTATATAATTCTGTTCTAATGTAAATAAAATAGACTACAGTGGTAATTAAGCAGTGTATCCTGTTGTTCTGGATTACAGCCTTCCAGCAAGGCAGGTCATAGGAATTTTGTCTGACAGTTCCTTTTGCTTGTTCTCCAGTTTCTTCCTTTTTTGATATTTTCTGGTATTTTGTTTCCTTTTCTACCCTTGTTACCTTCACTGTCTCCCCTGCACATGTGAATTTTCAGTCAATGTTCAGTCACTTGCTTCTCCTTTTTCTGTTGCTACTGAGATTCTCTTAATTTTTGCTTTTCTCCATTCAGTTTCTATCTTTATGGAACCCAAAGACAGCTCTTCTACAGGCCAGCGACAAGCTGTCTGGCGTAATTATCCAAAGTAGCTTAATTCTGATGAAAAGTGTGCTGCGTAAAAGAATTTGGCTGTAAGTGGATTAGTCAAAAATTGAACAGTAGCAGAGGATGCTTTCTGGTCTCTGGGGCTGATAAAAAACAATGAGAGGTGAAAGTAATGGTACTAAACAGTGGAGCACTTCTGTTCCAGACCAAGGGCTGAAGGAAGGAAGGAGCATCTTAGAAAGTCAGTTTTTGTGTTTGACTGCAACTTGGACATTTACAGCACAGATCTGCTTTGTTTCTTCTGTGATGTATTCATAAAAGGAAACTTTCTATTCCTTGTTGTGTACTATTTCCAGCTCTTTTGTAGAATAGTTTCTCTAGGGTCCGAGTTTGTTTCCTCAGCATTCAACAGTAATTTTTGGTAACTGAAAAAAGTAACCGCAAAGTGCAGATGCTTCTCAAAATCACACTCATCTAATATTTTAGATTAGATAAATTTTCTTTATAAAATGGGATTTTCCTGTGAAAACTTAATCTATAGAGTCAGACATCATTAATCTTTATCTACAACTTTATATAGAAGCAAATTCTCAGATTAATGATGTCTGACTCTATATTATCTACAACTTTATATAGAAGCAAATTCTCTTATTCTGTCAGTAAACAAGGACAGGCAGGTTTAAAGTGGCATATGTATCTTTAAATCTTGCTACTATAAGAAGTGAACAGTATTGGAAAATGTTATTTTCTGCATATTTTTCTCTTGAAGTTTCTTTGGGCATTTATCAGCACTTTCAGACTACTTCCCTGTAATGTAGCTGTTTTTTAACAAGAAAAACTTATATTAATATATATCTGACTCTAAACCTGCAGAAAATGACACTGAGTGTCAGAGGTAATGAAATTAAGACTGCTTTTGTTTGCTTAGAAATTGATGTTTCGTATTCTGGTTATGTGTCTAAAAAATTTAGTCACAGATATTTCTCTACATGTTTTAAAGCTTGAATGTGTTGTGTACACTGTTTTTGTCCTGGGAGTGATTCTATGTGAAGATGATACTTGGGGCTTGATGGTATTCAGCAGTGCTGCTTTTGAGATCAAGCCCTTGGTTTACAGTTGGAGCTGGATGTGTAACTGGAGACACATGCACAATCCAGCTTCATCTCTTAAGAACTTCTTAAATGTTACAGTGGGAGGATATTCTGTGGTGTGGGCTTTTTGGTTCCTGAGGACAACATGGAAGAGGTTGAAAGGCCAATGGAAAACAATAAATACATATTTGTCTAAAAAGATGTAGGTTTATGTATAGGATATGACATACAAAAATAATATATGTGCATATAAAACATAATACATTGCAACTGTCCTTATTTTCAAAACTACTTTGCTGGTTCTGTATGCCAGCTTGCAGATCCTGGTGAGTATGATAATGGGGTGAGGAAGAAAAGCTCATGTAAAGGGCTTTTTCCATTCCTCAGGGAGTGAGGGAGCTGCGATGGGTAGTAGGTGGGGGTGATACAAGCCTCTGGCTGTCTATTACCAGGAGAACAATGATGATCAGGAATAATGAGTGTATGCTGTGCTGCAGGGCTGCTTTCCCCTTGTGCCAATGTCAAAGGCTTGTTCTGCTTCTCTTGAATTAATGTGCATTTTTGGATGTGGACGTTGGCTACGCTTTCAGAATTGACAGTTGTTCCAGAAAAAAACCCCGACAACCATTGGAATTATATGTTAGAATATGATAAGCCAGTAATTTAGGCAGTAATTTTGCTTCTAGAGACACTTGCAGAATCATTTGAATGTCTCTTCTTGTTGACCTAAATGGGGCTGGTTCCTCATACTGATTCCTGCATTTGCTCAATTTGTAGGATTTTTTTCAGCATTAGAGTTGTTGCAAAATTTTGTAAGAAGATGAAGTGGGTATTAATAAAAACCATGGAAACAAGTCAATTATTTCCAGTCCATCTAAAAAAAGGTTGTAGTTAAAGTTACTTTAGAACTAGAGCAGTAGAGACTAACCCATAGTTTATATCCTCATGAAAAAGCTAAACAAAAATGGTACCCTGAAGACCAGGTCTTTATTGCAAATGTTAAGGGTAGGAGCGTTTCTATGAGAGAAAGTAGCAGATGCTAGGTGGGTGAAATGCCCATTAGAGATGCACAGATTTCTCTGTTAACACTGGAAGAGCAACCTTGGCTCCTAAAGGATAGGCAGGTGTAATGTATTTAGGTGGCTGGCTGAGTTGTTGTAAAACTGTGTTGGAGTCAGCTGGTTTTTAAGGCCTTTAATTCAGACAGCCTTTATCTTGACTTACAGGGGTTGGTGACTGGATGAAACCAGATTACTTAGTGGTATTTTGTGTGTGCTTCTCTATGTTTGTGGTTAGAATAAAAATCCCCACTCTCATTTGAGTCCCATAGAATTTAGGGATGCAAAGTTGGTGCTCTAATTGTTCCTTTCTTAGTTTCTTCTCCCTGAAAAATGGAGGAGGATCTCAAACATTCAGAAGTGGTTTTGGGTCAGAAGGGGTAATACTGATTTAGGATTAGGTACCAATGAGTAGCACTGGTGCCTTATTAATATTTTTCATACCATTCCCAGGAGGAAGCTGCTTTGGCTGTCATTGTCCTGATGCTTCTTCCTGCACTCCTGCATCCTAGTTATTTACACTGAATCATCTGCTTAAAAAAATCCACAACAACCCTAAGCACACCCTGATGATGAATATGATGCAGGAGATAAGAGCTACTTTAGATTTGATGAGACTTCCTCAATTATTCTGGGAAAAAATCATCTGCTCTTCACTCACATCTCCAGTTCTTCCAGAGGCTGATTTAGACAGTAGCCATCTAATTCATATATCCTAGTTTCTGCTATAATTTCAGTAGTTAGGTGCTCAGCTGAAATCCTAGGGTTATGTTAATACAGCCATTTATGCTAGAGCATAACCAAGCAAATGGAAAGGACTGTCCTGTCAGAGCCAATAGTAATGTAGGGAAAGAAAAAGTCGGGGCTTGTCTGAATGAAAAAGGGCAAAGATCGTGGGAAATTTTGCTTGTTTATATATCTGTCCAGAAGGGCAGGAAGAAGAGGAAAGGATTCAAAATTCTAGGAGGGAGGAAAGCCTCGTTCTGGAGATCCAGGTGGGGAGTCTGAATGGCAAGACCTTTGGAGTGAATCTAAAATATACTATGTAGCTGAGAAGGAAAAGCTTATCCTAAATGGTAGCATAGGAGTGGAAGCATAATAATCTCTGGTCAAGAGTTTTTCTATGACTCAACTCAACTCTCAACTTCCTGTTGCTCATTTCTGAAAGAAAAATTCAGCTGGATTTTTTTATTTATTAAAAAAAAACAAACAAAAACCAAAACCAAAAAGAAAAGGAAATGCAACAAAACCAAACCAAAGAAACAACACACCAAACTTCTTCTTTTGCAGTGAAGAGATACATCAGGAAAGGCATCCCCAATGAACACCGTGCACTCATCTGGATGATTGTGAGTGGGGCCCAAACCAACATGGAGCAAAACCCTGGATATTACCACAAACTACTTGAAGGAGAGAAGAATGACAAGCTGGTTGAAGCAATCAAAACAGGTTATTGTCTTGATAACACTGTTTATCCGTGTTTATCCATCGTGTGTCCTTAAATGTTAGAGATCAAGTTATGTCATGGAAAACTGACATTTCTGTAGTAGTGGTTTAAGTGCTGAATTAACATGTTAATTAGATTAGCCATAAGGTCTTTAACAGAACACATCTTTTGAGGTTCATCGTGTGGTCAAAAGCTTTAGGGAAGATTTGGGAAGGGAACCTGAAAACATTATGTTGTCTCCAAAGTGACTGAAGAGTTGTAACTTTGTACCGTGAGATCTGCCTTTGGGTCTGTTTCTCCTTACCTCTGTCCCAGCAGGACACTGGAAGAGCAGCAGGGATGGTAGAAGGTATGGTACAGTATCTGTATGAGGCAAACGAAGTATGCTAGGATTTCAGCTCGAGATAAAAAGACAGCTGAGAAAAAGCTGCTGGTAGAGCTATATGAATAATAAATGGTGTAGAGAGAGAGGGTGAATGGGGAGCAATTGTTATTTGCTGCTTGTAATGTAAGAACCAAGGACACTGAATGAAATTTGCCATGCTGCAGGTTTAGGAGGGTGTATCACTGAATTGTGTCACTTGTTACTGGAGGGCGCTCCTGAGGCCAGAATTATGAACTGGTTTTAAAGGAACGTGACAAACAGGGCAGGAGAAATCCATGTGAGTCATGAAATCCTAAATGGTAGATCTAAATCCCTAATTCCCTGAAAGAAGGGAAGTGTAGGAGGAGAAGTATCCTTCCTCTACTAATCTAGTTTCATATACACTGCCTGTGAGCATTGATCAGTGGCTGATACAGATGGGGCAGCCAGACCTTAGACTGGCCCACTGAGTGTTAAAAAGAGGCAGCTGTGAAAGACAAGCAAGTAGAATGTTGATGTAACTGGTATTTGTCCTGAATTTTTTCACCCTGCTGCAGCAGAGCTTTTGTAGAGAAGCTGACATTATCTGAGTTGTCCAATTAATGAGTCAGTAGGTTGGGCTGTGTTCTGGACAAGAACAATGCTGAGGTTGTTCCATTAGAACGGCAGGTGCAGTTGTCCTATTTTTCATCTTGAAAAAAACAGGTAGTTAAAGTTGGGGGTTATGGATTTTTATTCAAGTTGGAGAACCATCTGAATGCATTTTGTTTATGCTGAGTTTCTCCTCCACCTCTCCCCACAACAGCAGCAGCACTTTTGGGACTACACGCCTTAGTAAGGCATTTTGAAGCATCAACTTTCATGTTCCTACAAATATGAAGACTAGCCAGAAATCTTCAGGTTCATATCCAGTTCAGAGCTAGAAATAGTTTTAGCTATGAATACAGAAGGAGCTACTAAGATGTCTTTCCAAAGCCAGCCTTGCTTAGATCCTTGGAAAAGGAGCAAACTGTGTTCCCTTGGGATACAAGTAGTGCAAGAAGGAGTTGCAAGCAATTCTTTTTCCAGGAAATGGTCTAGTCTTTAAAGAAAAATCTGATTAATAATAGCAATATAATTATTTCAGCTAAGTAAATCTAAGCTGTCCCTTCAACACTTTTGCATTTTAACTGATGGGCTTTATTGCTGATTTTGTTTCATATTATGTTTGCTGTTTGAACATCCTTTTTAAATGACATACATAGGGGAGAGTAGGCTAAATATAAAAGAGTTTTATTAAAGAATGCAGGTCTCTACATTTTGATGGAAATTTTTGTGCCTTGGTTTACATGTGCATTTAGAAGGGCATGCATTCTTACTGAGCTTTGTTGTTCATGCCCTATTATAGTAAAGTTTAGTAGTACAAATGATATTGTCAGGATAAAATGTGGCTGTCCTACTACTACAAAGGCTATGTGCCTAAGTTGACATAGCTTCCTTGCAGTAAGCCCCCTTAGGCCAGACCATTGAATTGTAATGTAAGTATGTCTGTGTCAGCGAGTCCTCTTGGATGCATATACAGCTAACATCCAGGTTTCCTCTCTTCCTTTTCATAAGGAAGAGTTGTAGTTCCTGTGAAACCCAGACTCTGATGTTTATCAGTCATTCCACTGAGCCTGCCTTGCACTGTGCGACTGCTGGCATAAGGATCTGGCTGCACTGATTGGATAGTTGTTGCAGGATCTTAGTTTAGTTTGTGATGGGTTCAGAAAAGCAATTCAAACAATAGCCATTGTTACTTTGCTAGAGACAGTGAATATTTTGCTATCAAAGCACTAATAAGCTTCTCTGAATGGGGTTAAACAATTAGTGAAGATGGGAAATTTTCACGAGTTTAAGGCAAGGGCAAGGGGAAGAGCAGTGTCATCTATTCTGGCTCTCCGTAAGAGAAGCCGTATCAGGTCATACCCAAATGGCTACTTCATCAAGTCTTCTGTCTACTAGAACAGCTAAAGGAAGAACTGGAGGTTTAAAGTGTGCTTAGAATGTTTTTCCTAGTTTCCAGTTATCTGTGGTTTGGAGAGTTCCTGAGGCATATGCTGCATATTTGTAGTTAATAACAGTGGATGGGGGGAAAAAAAACAAACCTCTGGTTGCTCCTTTGTCATGGCATTTACCTTGCTCATGATTTTGGAGAGGTGTGCTGTCTTGCTCATAAGCATCTCCCTCCAAATTTCCTAGTTTCCAGTTATCTGTGGTTTGGAGAGTTCCTGAGGCATATGCTGCATATTTGTAGTTAATAACAGTGGATGGGGGGAAAAAAAACAAACCTCTGGTTGCTCCTTTGTCATGGCATTTACCTTGCTCATGATTTTGGAGAGGTGTGCTGTCTTGCTCATAAGCATCTCCCTCCAAACAAAGGAGCCCTAATCCACCTTGCTTGATACTGTGCATGGTAGCCACTTCATATCTGTGACCTTCCTTTTTGTCGTTCTCTTCCACAATTTCTCCAATTCTGATACCACTTTTTGGGGATGGAGAGGACTAGAATTTATGCAGGTGCTTTTCAGATTTAAGCAGTGGCATTTTTATTCTGTAGGAAATCCTAACCCTGTTTGCTTTCTTGATTTCTGCAAGCTATTGAATTGTTACTGGTGTGGGGGGATGCCAGCCTCAGTTTCTCTAATTTTAGTCGACCTTCGCTTAAAACAACAAACCAAAAAACCCTGAACTTCTGAAACCATTTCTAGTTCCAGGCATTACTGGGAGAAGCTCCTAGATCAGTCCTAAATATCCAGTTACAACAATTAAAAAATATCCTTTCAAGTATATTATTTTTACAAGTTGTAATTGATGACCTAACCTCATTATTCTGGAGGTTTGCAGTGGATTTTTTTAAATGTTTGTAGTTGGCAGTTGAGGTGAATTTTTGTTCTACTCTTCACTAAGAAAAGAAAAAAATTACCTGCCTGGAAAGTGTTCAGAGGAGGTGCAAGTTACAGCTACATCAGTAGCAAAAAAGTGACCATAACTGGAGTAGAGGATGGTAGTTACAAAAATACTTGTGTAATTTACTGGGCACTGTTTGTGGGGTTGGAAAGCACCTGGATACGAAGTTAAGAACAGAAAGGATGGGACAGCAAGATGAACATTATTGACTTGTAGATGCCAGACTTTTGAAGTACCCTGAATATGAAAAGCACAAGACTGGTACAAAAGCATTTGTTTTTCTGGACTGCACATTTAAGTCTCTTTGCTCCAGAAATAGCATCAACAATTGTGATTCCAGGTGCCAAAGGAGCTGTCTGTTTTATAAGCTGAGGCTAATGTGGCTCTCTGCCTGGGTTTATATGACTGAATGAGAGGTAGAAATACTGCAGAAACAGCCAGTAGTCTTCCTGAGGTTGCTGAGAGATCAATCAACAGAAAAAGGAAAGCTTATGGTTTTCTTTCACAGCAGCGTAACACTACCACCTTGCAACACTGAAAGATATCTAAAGATGCTATTGGGATTTAGTCTGAGTTTACTACAAAGGAGTAGCTACTCTTTTCTTTGTGGCCTTCCCTGTCCCATGCTCTTATACCTAGTTTGGATATAGCCAGCAGACTGCACACAACCACAGGATGGTTATTGTTTTGGGGTTTATCTAGCAATAGAAAGTGCTAATGTTAATTTCCCTGCTTGAAAGCAATTCTGATGTTTTTTCTCTAATTAGACTAGATTCAGGCTGTTTTCCTTTGGATGCTGATGTCTATCAAGAATGAAGTAAGGTAACGCATAGCAGGTCATAGGTGGGCTGTGAGGAGGAGGAGAAGGAGGTGTTTGGGCATTTTGGAGGCAGGGGTAGTGGTAAGTGCTCAAGTCAAATTAACAGCTCTCACCTGCTCCTGCTGTTTGCCTAAAGTCATCTCTGGCAGACATCTCCTAGTATGGTAAAACAAACCAGTTTTTGCGTGCTTGAGGAGCAGATTAACTTCCCTCTTCTTGCAGTCAGAGGAACCTCAGAGCTGGAGGGAGAACAGGTGAATAGGGAGGGAGGATGGAGAGGAAGCAGGACACTCTTTTCTCCGTTTTCTCAAGAAAATAATCTGGCATAAGAAGTCCTGTGAGACCATGCCCCGTATCTTTTATTAAGGATAAAGATTTACTAGCTCTTGTATCTTGTTTTTGTTCCACACCCTTTCCCCACCTCAAATTGACACAATGTTACTAAAGGTAAAGAAAGTTAAAAATCATTCATTAAATTAGGAGAAGCTTCTCCCAATCCTTGTGGCAAAAAGCAAACTGGAGCTGATTCTTTTAACCACAGGCCTTCCTCAGATTGTGTAATTGAAGATGAGCTCAGTTTGATTAGTCTCTGCTCTGTATGTGATGGACTTTTCATACTCCCTTCTCACTGTTGCTCTGCATAGCTTAAGGGAAGAGCCATAACTGAAATGCTGGCATTAATATTTTCTCTAACATGCAACATATACTTCAATAAAAACAAGTTCTAGTTATGCAAATACAATGCTTCTCTTCCTACAAAGAAGAAACAAACTATGGCTGTCGGGCTGTTGCTCAAGTCCTTTACAAAATTGCGTTTTTCCCTATGGTTTTCTTCTCAGTCACATGAGAGGTGAAGTGAAATCTTTTGCTTCCCCCCATTTTCTGAAAATTATTTGTTCACCTTCTAAAGGAAGGAATAGTGATTAGTGCAATAACATTTTAATGCTTGCAACTTCCATGAAACTAATCAAGATTTTGGGAGGCTTTCTTCCTTTGGTTGCCTACAGTTCAGCTTTGCGTCAGAGCTGCAGCTCCTTTATGCAGCAGAAGCTGATCTGTGTCCTTAACTCTTAGGACATAATTATCTCTACAGTAGTGCTGTTACTGAATTATTTTTCTTTTACAATTTAGCCCAATGTTTTTGTTGTTAAATATAACCAAAACAACTGTTCATATTTTTTAGATAGAAGTCTTGGGTTTTGAAAATCTTTAAATAGGACTGTTCTCTCCAACTTAAATTTCTGAAAATTAGATGTACAAGTCTGGACTAGTGACTTTGGACTTGCTCCCCGTGGAGTGAAGCAGGCCAAAAATTTACTCTGTTTGTTTCTTTCCAATAACTAAAGAGAGTTTCGGGTTACTAGCTCAAACTTGCATGTCTAATTTTTAGACCTTTGTAAGGAGAGATGAGTTCTACTATTAATTGGTTTGAAAGAAAAGGATTTGAAGTGAAATTGATGTTTTGAATTGTCAGTAATTGCATAGTCCTTAGATTGAACTTGGAACAAATAGGATGTGCTCTGCTGCTTGGATACTGAAAAACTACTCTCATTCTTGCTGATCTTGCACCAGTGAAGAAACAACTTTTCTCATGGTCACATCATGGAGAAACTTTAAAAATACCATGATGTTACGTGCAAGTTACCAGCTGCAGGAACAGGACTTTGTTTTAGGTGGTTGGGACTGTTTGGTAGAAGTTCACCAGTAAGTTAATTGGATGTTCATCTGATTTGTTATGAGAATGATCTTTCCTAGAGGCACAGCTCATTTTATGCCACTTGGTTAAATAAATTTAGTGTGTGTTGTTTCTGACAGTCTAAATGTCTGGTTTGCTTTCATTTAAGGCTTTGTAGTCAGATGTTGAGAGTGTCCAATCTGCAGGATAATTTCTTTAGTCCTACTTGAACTTGATTTCTGTCTGCTAATACGATTAATCTTTCTAGGAATAGATTATCCTTGAGTGCAGATGGCCTTTCAGCCAAAACAGAGGCAAAGCTGTTTCCTAAAATTCATCCACTAGGAAGACAATTTACTGAACCGTATTGAAGTTTCACTTGTATTTGAGAAAAGCTCTGTAAGTTTATTTGGAAAGTGTAGGAGAGAACAGCTCTTATTTTGATTATTTTTTTTTTCCCTTTTTTTCTAGACATGAACAGAACATTTCCAGATAATGTAAAATTTCGCAAAACTGCTGATCCCTGTTTGCAGCACACACTCTACAATGTATTGGTAGCCTATGGGCATCATAATAAAGCAGTAGGATATTGTCAGGTATGTAATAACTGTTTCTCAAAGAGTGCTGCATTTCACCCATGGTAATTGTTCTTGTCCATTTGAATGTGCATTTTTAGAAGCAGATCCACAATCTATTTCTGTTTTTAAAATAGCCCTTAGGGGGAGGAAGGCAGGAGTGGAAAGTAATTGCTTCTGACAAGTTCAGATGTCCTTGTGAGTTTATCCCTGGCCTTCTTTGTAGGTTGCTTACTAAAATCACACAACTGTTCTGCTTGGAAAAGACCTTTTAGATCATTGAGTCCAACTCTTAACCCAGCACTACTAAGGTCACCACTAACCCATGTCCCACACCACCACATCTACCCAGATGACATGTCTCCAGGGATCATGTTTGGTTCCATTTGTTAGCTGCAAAATAAATGTTTTCTCACACGTCTCCTGCCGTCTTTCCCAAAATAGTCCTTTGTATGTACCAGACATAATGAGTTCCATATTTCTTTTGGTTTTGCTATCACATTTGTCAAAATACAGGAAGACTAGGGTTCATGTGGCATCACGTAGTTGGTTGGGTGGTATCTTTTATTTTATGACATCTCCCAGTATGGACAGATAAGTAGGAAGAAAATTTATTTGAAAAATCAATCTGATACTGCTTATGTGGTGGCTCAAAAAAGCTCCTGTTGTCACTTTCAAGTACTGTGAAGTTTCCTGTGGGATGCAAAGAAGATAGAAGTTGATTAATGATGCTCAAAAAAAAAAAAGCTGCCATTTTAATGATCATAAAGAAGCAGGAGCTTTCATGAGCAAGATGTGCTTTCAGCTCTGATATTAAGTCCTGTCCTCTCTCCTCCCCAAGAATATTCGGGTAACCTATACGTTATTTAGTTGAGAAAGTTAGTACAGCAAATACAACTGATCTGAAGTTAAAAGAATATTAATTCCATTGATTGAAATCTGGAGAGGAGAAGTCTTAGAGACTTAAACCGAGACTGAAGTCACAAAGAAAATACTTTTGTGTATCCCAAACAGTTTTAGCACAGAAATTAACTGAAGAATGGGAATAAAAGAGGATTTTCTGTTCAGCTTTGTGTTTATCAAAATTTATTTTTAATATTTTGATAATAACAGAAGGGATAGAATTATGAACACTCTCTTTTGCAAGTGTCAGACTCCTATATAAATGTATTTATACCCATAAACAAACACAACTTCTAGACCGTGATGGCTGCTACCCAAAATGAATGTCCAATTGTTACTAAAATGTTTTGGTACATTAACTGTTTAATCAGTGAGCTAAACTTTGCCTTTTAACTTGGCATTATGAACACTGAAGATGAAAGAAGACTTGAAAAGCCTTTTGTTATTTCTTTTTGCCTCTGGTCTCCTTGCAGGATGAATGTTATCTTTTCTGGCTAAGTAATTATACCATAAACCAAAGGTCAACATCTGCTTTCCAAGGCATATTGTAAATCAAGCACATCTTCAGGAAATCACCTTTCTGCTAGAGAAGAACAGAGCTGATAAAGATTGATATAGTGATAACACACTGCGTGACAGGAGAGACCCTATAAACAGTAGAAAATTCAGAGTGAAAAATGGGAAAAAAAATCAAATGTTTTGCAGAGCTTTTACTGACTGAAGGCTCTTGAGACGATGTTTTCATCATGGTAGTGTGTTTGTGATGCTTAGTGGCATTGTCTCCCATCTGGGAGTGTATTAGGCTCTGTGTTGTCAGGCTATGCCAGTGGTAGTGCTGCCTACCCTAGTATAACCAGCAAAATTGTCATGTGAACATATGCTTCAGAGTAGCTTTTTGTGCATGCCACATTAAGTGCCCAATGGTCTCTTGTCACTGTAGAAGCAATTACTAAGCTGTCAGCATGGAAACAAACAGTTGCCTTCCTAGCTGTAAGGCCAAGGACCATATAAGGCTGTGCAAGGTTTGTCCAAGCTATTTGTGTAACAACTTCTGTAGTGACTTAGAGTTTGAAAAGGAGACGTGTCCTAATATTTCCATGTTCTGGGAGGTGCTGGAAGGTGGGACAGGTGAGTCAAATCTGTTGAATGCAATAAATGAGATCTTGATTCAGTAATTTGTAGCTTCCAGAGCTGTGAGAGTATTATTTTTGGCAGCTGTTGTCTGTCTTCCAGTCACAGTTGGCAACACTGTAGGGTACCTGGTGCTACCTGTGGTGACAGATATGCTGGAGAAGTCCAGCTCAGAGGGAGAGAGAACAGAGGGAAGGCCAAAGAAAGGGATGAAACCAAAGAAGGCAGTGTAACCAACACCAGTGTTCATAGCCTGTAAATATTTTAAAATAAATTTGGGTTAGCTTAGGAAGACTTGCACATCAGAGGCAGCTTTTGTATATTGTTCCTATATGCTGTCTGTGTTATTACATTTGTTAGCTTGTTTACAAAGGAAAAGACATGCTTAAAAAAAGTATAGTATCTCCCTTTTTTAAGCATGTGAATCAGCAATATTGCCAGAACTTTGCAGTGTCACGGTGGATAGAAGACAAAGGGTGCCAGACACAGAGGCAGGGTGTCTATGGGAAGTACCAGTTAGTGACCTGTGTGTTCTGTTTGCCACTTCTCCAGTCGGAGTGTCAGTAAATTGTACAAAAATTGCACAGTTGGAATTTGACCAGTCATGATTTGAGGGCTTCCTAGACTTCTCACAAATTTTCTGGTTGCTCTTCCAATGCCCTACCTCCCAGCATTTACATTCTGTTTGCAAGTTGAAAAGGCTAGTTGTTGACTAAGGTGGAGTACTGGAGGTATTATGGAAGAAACTTATTTATGTGTTGTCTTTTGACAAGTTAATCAGCAAAAGCTCCTTTTTGCTAAATAAAGAGTGTGGGTCAGACATTTTCCTTCTGCAGCCACCCTGTTTTGCCTGCAGGTGTGTTTTTGTACTGCTCACCTAAGGCAGCTGTGGTTGGGTTCTCGTCAAAGCAGTCTTCAGTTATATTGGAAAAGGGCTTTAGAATTATTTTTTTTTTTAAAAAAAGGAAAACTTAATGTAAATTCTAATTTTCCTCTACTTGATCTTTGTTTATAATTCTTGTTAGCTGTCACTATGCAGGTTTAACAGCTTACTCAGCCAGTGGCCTTTAATACCAGATTCTACTTAATTTGTCCACTTCATAGAACTGTAGTAATTTAGCCCTTAATCAAAGTAAATACACTGCAAACTCTTAAGATAAGTGCATTTTAAAACTGTTCTTTCTGTTTCAGGGCATGAACTTCATAGCTGGATACCTGATTCTTATTACAAAGAATGAAGAGGAGTCCTTTTGGTTGCTAGATGCTCTTATTGGAAGAATATTGCCTGGTATGCTAAAATCATACATAGTTGCATTTGTCTTTTTGAGCTTGGCTTTTATTTTATCTTTGCACTCTTCTACATTTTTAGAGGTTTTAGATGTTAAAATGGACTTGCATAGGCTGAAGATTTTCTAGGGTCCTGGAAATACAGGACAAAGACTAAGCACACAAGCGAGATTTTTCTGGTTTAGTCTAATTTTAGTCGTGATGCAGTGCTTTATGTGTCTGTTAACTTCTGGTCTTACTTCTCACTCTCTACTTACACCTGTTAGGTAAGTGTCTTCCTATATCAGTGTGTTGCTGGGGAAACAGCACTTGGTGAAGGTGTCTTGGATTTGGCAGCTCTGGTTGCAGGAATGCGAGGCACAGCTGAAGCAGTGATCACAGAGCAAAGTGAAGATGGGAGATGTACACAGTTTGAGCACTGAGTTTAAAGTAGGGATTCCCAGTGCCTTGGCAAGGGGCAACATGAGATTTTTTCAGAGGTATTTGGCAAAGTGTTGATAGTTTCTCCTAGGTACTGTAGTTTCTGCTGTACCCTGTTTCTGAGCGGGGACATCTTGGGCACTTTGCACATTGTGATTTTGCAACAAAGCAAACAAATGTCAAAATGCCTGTGTCTCCACATGAAATTCTTGTCAAAGCTCTGCTGTGATTAATGGTGATCTTGTTAGGCTGGTCAACAGTCCAGAGGGAAATTTGGCGCACCCTAGGCTATTGACTGTATTTACATCTGGTCAGTTCAGTAGCTCTCTAGGTTCCCCCGTCTGGATCTTTGGGTTTGCAGGAGGTTTTTACATGCTGAATTTTGCCCAGTGTATAAGCTGAACCTCACCACATCTGTGAAGTAGTTAAAAACTAGAAGCAGGCATCAGGCACAGCTATGTTTTATAGTCCTGTGAAATACGTTTGGGATATGTTCTTGGGATTTAATTATAGAGGAAGAATGGTTTTGTCATGAGTTCCCATTAGCATTGCACAGGACTGACTACAGCTACACCCTTAATGTAAAGCCATACTGAAACTGAAAGACTATTTTTTCTATAAGGAAGCTTTGAAGTCCTCTATTGGCTGAGTTTTGCTTTTGAACAGATCTTTATCCCAAACGGTTAGAGACTGAATTCAGTATTACAGTGTCAACTACGTGCAGGTCAAGGATGTCAAGGCTGATATTTTAATTTCCGCTTCTTCCTGTTCTTGTTTAAGATTAAACAAACAAAAAAAAGTGTATAATCTTTGGTTCCTTATAGAACAAAAGGGAAAGGCTTTGAGAAAGAAGGGAAAAGAGCTGAGGGAGTCTTTTATTGCTTTTGAATGACCGTAAGAAATGATCTTTTATGCTGACTACACCCTGTGGGAACTCAGGTTTTCCTTGCATATAAGCAGAGTGGTTTGACTTTGTGGATTGAAAGAGCAGAGGGAGGCAGGGAGTGCTATGACTTGTTGGATCGATCAGCAAATATTTGAGGGTTTGCAGCCTTAAGGTTTACTTTCAAGCTATAAAAATAGTCTGAAGAAATCAACTGTGTCTGTTGCTTTTGTTCAGCCTTGAGAGCTATAAGCTGTGCAAACAGGTAGGAGGCTTGAGGGCTCTGTCTGCCATGTCACCTGCCACTGGCTGACATCGGTGGATGTCTTTCAAATGACATCACTGTGTGAGGGGTAAGTCCCTCAGTAAAAAGTAAGTTTCACTGCAAAGAAATGTGTGGCAGCTTTTGCTGTTAATATTTTTGATAGTCTTGTCTGTTTTTTTGGAAGACAAGGGAATAGATTCAGAATTTCTTATTCATTGTTCCTGGTAGAGAGCTTACGTTAGTTGATAGTTGGTGATAAACCCTTTAGCTCTTCTTGTATATCCTCCTTCTACACTTTGCTGATACCTAAATGATGGAAGTTGCTCTCATTTGGCATGGGAAGTGGTCACAGCACCAAGCCTGCCTGAGTTCCAGAAGTGTTTGGATGGTGCTCTCGGGCACATGGTGTGATTCTTGGGGTGTCCTACACAGGGATAGGACTTGGACTCGATGATCCTGATGAGTCCTGTCCAACTCAGCATATTCTGTGATTCTGTGATTTTTCTCTATTAGTGGTTGAATTTATGTTACACCTCTTCTGTTGGTGATGAGAAGAAACTCTGCAGAGTTGGCCAGAGAGTATTCCACACTAGATATAATTCAGGGATCACTGAAGTCCTTTCTGCTTCTTCTTCCCTTCTCTTCCATCCATGGCCAACATCCAGGGAGGACTCCATCTCTCCATCACCGTTGATCCCCAGGCTTGTGTATTCCTGACCCTCATCACTCTCCCCTCAGCTCCTTTCTGCTCTGCCTCTCTCTCTGGCAGCACTTGGGACATGTTGGAACTGGTTACAGCTCAGGAGATGCCAGGGGAGTTGCTGGGGGTGGGGGGCAGTGGTAGGGTTTTGCACATTCCTGCACGTATTTGCATATATTTGTACATATTTTATAATTAGTGTTTAATTAGAACTGTCTAGTTTAGTTTTTCAGTCTGCAAAGTCTCTCTCCTAATTATCTCTCTCCTTTCCCCACCTGGGGGGGAGGGGATTGAGAACATTGTTGTCACTAGTTTAATTGCCTATCCTTAGTCAAACTGTGACACAGAGAATCAGTGTATCTTTCTCAGAGCTTCAGAGGAAAAAGTAGCAGTCATTTTTTGTTGGATGTTAACAATTGGATTAGCCAAAATTTTCCTTTAGTTTCTTTGCTCTTTTCTTCATCTGTTTGCATTATAATCTACATGTTTTCCCCTTTCATTGCAACAGATATGCCTCCAGGCTATGTCCTCATTTTCCAGTGTGTCCTGTCACTGCCAGTTAAATTGGTGATGAGTTAGGACAGTTCAGAAATCCCTTTTCTGCCCTCTGCAGTGTCCCTTTCTTCCCCTGGCCCAGAGATGTTCAATTGCTTAAAACAGCTGCTCCAGTACCTTGGTGCTGACAGCAGTTTTTTGGTCAGCAGATGAACCAAGCCAGCCACAGATCAATGTCATTGATTGAAAAAATATAGAATGTGACAGACGAGAGCATTAGTGGCAGCTTTCTGGGGAAGTGACAGAGAAGGGCTCCCTAAGCTATGGCTTACCTCTCCACTTGTACTGGTTTTAGGACTGGGTGGAGGTACGTACCATAGGATGTGATGAAGGCGCGGCTGGTCCACCCACTGATAGGAAGGGGACAGCCTGCGAATGGGACCCCGTCAAGTAGAGGTTTCAGGCTGAATTGTTCTGTTACACCCAAATGGAGTTAGCACAGCTGGAAGAGCAAGCCAGCAAAAATTGTTGTTAGGTTTGTTGGAATATGGAGTTGTGTGTGTGCCATTCTTCTGGCTGAACGTTGCACTGCTGGGTACAGCAGTGAGGCTGGAAAGATCCTGCCTCTGGTCTTAGTCTGCCCATAGTCTGCTGCCTGTTGTGTCTGTCAGCTCCTTAACCAGAGGTTTGGAGGGATTAGGAGCATATCTCATTGAAGCACAGCAAAGGCGAGGAGAATTATTTGTTTAAATGAAGTTTTGGGTGTTACCAAGATACTTTATTCCCAGGTTCATTCAAAACAGATGGCTGGAGCAGATGGTATTGTCCATAAGAAGCAATAGGGATTAAATTTTAGCTCATAGTGGATGTGTATGCAGTTTCTATTCAGGACAGCTCTACTGTTTTTGTTCTTTTCATAGCTCTGGTTCTTGTTGAGAATTTTTTTGGTCCTGTTGAGGAAATATTGTGGTGGTTGCTTTAGAAAGCACCAGGTAGGTGAGAAGTTTTAATTGCGATATTTGATATGTAACTCAAGGAACATATTTGTCATGTTTTATGTATTTGTGATTAAATGGTGAGTTTAAGAGAAGAAAAGCTTAAGAATTTTGATTCACTTTAGCATGACTTGCTTACATATAGCAGAACAATGGCTGTTTTTTGCCCCTCTCACTTCAGTGGTTCTCAGTGTGAGAGCAGAAGTGTTTATCAAGCTATACTGTAATTAGCCTACTGGACTATTACACTGGAGTTATTTACTCTTACTGAAAACCAGTTGTAGAGTATTCCTCCAATGGCTAAAGAGAGGTCATATGACACCTGCACTAGCCTGTTTGTGGCCAGTTTTTTTATCCTTTTATTCTTGTGACAGTGCTGACTTTTGGGAGTAAAAATAGTCCCCCTCTGTCTTGTGCTTACTTCTAATGTATTTGTAGAATACAGTAAGTTAATTTTTAAGTTCTTTAGTATTACTTCAGCTGTGTCAAACTCTTCTCCTGCTTGTTCCAGTTTGGACTGAATTTTAAACTTGATCACAATGGCACACTTTTTTTTTTTTTCTTTTTCAGTGGGAAATTTGCTAGTGCCTTGTGCAGTGGCATTATTGCTCTCTTTTCACAGCTGAAAGTGTTCCCTTTAAGACAGAAAACCAGTAGGCTCTTCCTTGCCTTTTTTCCTTGTGCCACTCTGCTTTTGCTTTGTGATCTCAGTAATAATGTGTGCGTTATTGCTCCTGTCTCATTGCCAACAGATGTTTTTTCCACAGCTTATAGGAATTCATAGCACCTTTTTGCTGAACTTTATTTGCACGTTCTTGTCTTTATCTTAAATATCATTATATCTCTCTTACTCCAGTCTTACCAGTTACTCAGTTGTGCCTTTTGTATTGTCATGGGACACTTAACTCTCAGTTTAGGATTGTTACAAATACCAGTTTTTTCTTTTTCTCCAGAGTTATTAATAGAAATCTTATATTTGGTGTAGCCTGCAAGCATTCTTCAAGGATTAGTCTAACAGCCTTTCTTTGGTCTGGTACATTTTAGGCTTTCGGTTTTTAAAGGTTTGTTGTTATTTTTTTACCCACACATGCTGCCTGGTTGTTTATTGATAATTAAAAATAAGAACAGAGTTCTGAATGATGAAATAGTTACAATAGTTCATTGACTGCATGGAAGTAACTTGGGGTTATCTGCAAGGACACAAGGTACAATGCAAGATACCATTTGGGCGACTGCTGGTTAA